TACCTCCCAATCGCATGCGAACGTTCGATTTAGAGACTCGTCGCAAGTACAAGGCTTTAGGTCACCCCGGGGGGAACGCTTTACAACGTTCACAGACGAGACGAGCGGACAATGTCGGGAGGGTCTGGACAACATTCAGATGCGTCCCCTGTCTTTTCGACGCTGGAAGAATCCAGCTCAGCTAGTGAACTTCAAGCATGCTGCTCATCGCCGTTTCGGTCGACGGCCACGCTCCAAATTCGCGATCTCCAAGCTGATGGTCCAAATCGTAGCCTATACGACAAGTGTACGCAGCGGAACTCGCCACTCGTAGAGCCATGCCACTCTTTGAGCCTCAGGCATTCGCACAGCTGATCAACGAGTTCATCAGCGACCTCTTCTTCACAAGCCTCGTCCTCGGTCTCGCAGCCGCGTTGTTCGACGATCTCCTCAAGCAGCGGCACATGCGGTGGAGCTCACCACTTCCGATGCCGCACAAGAGTGTGCTCGTGTGCCAGAGTCGCCTCGGGCGCAGAAGACACGGAACGTGGAGGCAATAACGGCAGCAACACCTGCGCTGATCGATCTCACCATGGTCCTCTTCTTCGCCGGCCTAGTCGTTCTCCTATGGACCCTCGACGTTGTCACCGCTGTGATCACCGTTGTCGCTTCAACTTTCCTGCTGGTCGCCTCTGCCTTCACTATCCTACCTCTTATCTTCCGTTGCATTCCCTACGAACGTTTCCCCGCGTGAGTTTCTCTCGTATGTGCCTTTGTACCGTTTGCTTACTCTCACAACAGAGCGTCGTGACCGTGCTACTGTATGCCTTTGGTGTCATCGACTGCAAGGTGTTCGAAGCCGCAAACGCCATCTCGCCGCACTAGGGCTGGTGTAATATCCATGGTTGTACGGTTTGTAATGACAAGGAACGGATGCGCCGACTCTGACCGCAGAGCATCAACTCTCTCGAGGCTCACCGTACGCGCTTCGCCGCGCTCCTCCATCTTGTTCAAGCCAGCGGCGTCCTAATGAACACCAGGACCTTATTCGCTACGGCCGGCGTGGGCGCGCTATTCGGGCGTTCCTTTCCGCGGGAGACCCAACGGCTCGCGCACGGCCATCTGGTTAGGCAGGCTACCCGTCTGAGAACCCCTCCACTGCTGCCGCAGCCGACGGAAAGCCACCCGCGTCGCCACAGGCCAAAGATCCTGGCTTGCCGGTGGCATCGGGTTCCACACGCCTCTCTTCATCACAGGCGGGACGTCCTGTCCTATTCCATCACTCTCTACCAACCGAAGCCGCCTCGTATCGTCCTACCCGTGGCCAGCTTTATCTGCTGCGCCCGCTGCACCGGCGCCAAATGATAACGATCCAGCAGCTCAGTCGAGACCAACGCCTGGCTCGAGCACGACCGAGTGCGACGAAATGTTGCTCACACCATCTTCTGCCTGGTCGTCGGCGTCGCGTCCTGTGTTCTTGATACCGACCAGTCATGTCTCGTACGGATCATTCGACGGCGACGAGCGCCTACGTTGCAAATGTCTTTGCAGACCGGCCTCGCTCCTTTCCTGAAAACGAAGAGCGAATGCGCCAGCCGCGGCGCGAGCGAAAACTGTGGACAGGCTGAGGAGACGGGAGGCAACAGTGGCGGCGTCGTCACGCGGGTGGCGGAAGAGGCCGACGCTACTACTCCGGAGGTAGACCTTGTCGACCGTACTCGGACACAAGAAGTGGAATGCAGCTTGGTCTACGAGCACAGCTTCCCAAATAGCTGCTCGGGTCTTCGCCTGCATCGCCGACGACGACATGTCCGGTGCTTGTCCGACGTGGTCAGCTCGTCAGAGGCAGCTGGCACTGGCGATGTGCTGAACCCTACCACCGGAATTCGTGCTGAACACGAGGCGATGACCTGGCACACCACGCCTAGCGCGGCGCGATGCCTGCCGCGGCAGTGATCTCCAGAGCGCAAACCAGGACACCCAGACCTGCAAACGTGACAGATTCGCCCGTCGATGCCGTACGCGGGGTTCTCTGCGTTCTCGACGAGCCGCACGCGACACTGTCCAGCTCTGACGGTGACTCGCAGGCTCTTTCGCTTCGCTGGCCGTCCGATCCTCGATTCCGCGCACTCAATCTATGCCAACCGAGGCAGTAGCTAAACAGACTCATCGTGGCAAGATGCGCTTACGTCTTCCGGCTGGTGAACTAGCAGCGCGACCTTCCAGACCTCTGCGGATCATCCGTGAAGATAATACTCGACCCTGGCACAAGTGCCTTTGCACGAAAGTAAGAACAGCACCTTCGCGCGCCAGTGAGCAAAGCTGATTGTGTGCAGGTACGCAGAGCTGGCCCAGACGGAGGGCGCCATGAAGCATTCCGCATTCGTAGCGAGATGTCACGCGAAGGAGACGGCAGGGCGATATCTGAAAGAGCTGCACTCCCTGTTCCTGGAACGGAAGATTTCATTCATATGTGGACTAGGGAGATGCGCGCACAAAGCTCTGCAGTCGCCCGCCCGAGTCTGTGCTACCCGCGCTTGCTTGTCCGTACGTTATTGCAAAGTATTTCCAGGTTCTGAGTCAGTCAGTGTGCTATCGGGGCCGCCATAATACTCGCACGTGTTACCACCGACTTGTCGCTCAGGACTTGCTTTGTATGATTTGTAGACATCTCTATGGCCGTGCGGCATCGAAAAACCGAGGACATCGCCTCGCACAGCTCTGGCATGCGTCACTCTGAACGCAGCAGTGCTGGCGCCGGACCGCCCAGCTGCCGCATTTTGGTCAGGAGTCCTTGCGCAACCGGCTCTTCCAGATACGTGTCTGGTCGATCTCAAGCTTGACCCACGTCGGCGCGCGAATGTGATGTTCGGCAAGGGCGAATCCACTTGATATCGCAGAAGATGACTGGGGGTCGTTGTTAGATGACAGGAGAAACGGTAGATGGTGAGTAGAGCATACTATCTAGCTCCTGCTCCAAGTAGTCTGGCGCGTGTGCAGATGCTCAGACTTTTCCGGCGGAGCGCATGGCCAACTGGTCATCTTCTCCGGAAGTTAGCTCTGGACCCTCATCCTCATAATTGCGCCCCGCACGTCGCCGCCTCATGGTGCCGGGCATTTTGAAGGAAGAGTGAAACCTAAAGCTCTCGAGACGCGTCCGAAACCGCTCTACCGAAGCAGCCGGAGTTGGAGAGTTGCAATATGTTTCTACGCGGTCTATACTGGATCGGTTATAATAGGGATGCTACCAAAGGCCCAGTTCTATGTACTCTAACCTAGCTACGATGAGGCATCTAGTAAAAGGGGCAACGAGCCACGAATACTGGTCAGAAGGAGAAAGAAAGTTGTTGGGTATGCCGAATAGAATATCACAGAAAAAGAAAAAGAAAACCCCCCGAATCGACCATGATCACAAGCCACAACTAGTCGTACAACTGAACAAGTCCAAGAGAATCGTAGCAAGCCATGACACCTCCATCATCGGGCTGGGCGCATCTCAATTCCTGCGCTCCCCTCGAACCGTCTGCGCTAGAGAGAAATCGACAGTGGGAACGCCCTCGGCGTCCAGCTTCTGCAAGTTGGGGGCCGCCTTGTTGCGCTCGGACGCACGATCAACGGCAGAACACAACACCTGTACGAAGGATTGTACGTTCTCTTCGGAGAGCATGGTGTAATGCTCGCCGGCGACATCCACAAGCTCCAGGTTCGCGCAGTAGTCCTTCCACTTCATCATCCTTTCCGACATGTGTTCCTCACGCGTGCCCATAGAAGGCAGCGGAGCGGCACAGAAGACAGTGACCTCGGTATCGCCTATGAGTGGCGACAGCTCGTACGTACGCCCAAGCACGGAAAGCGAATGCGCGACATGCATCCAGGTTTTCAGCTCGCTAGTGGACATCTGGAGCTCGCGGAGTCGTTTCTGATCTGTGCGGGGGAGCAGCCAGTCTAAGATCTGTTCACCGTTCGTCGGCTCGGTGGACAGACCAGAAAGCTCGGGAAAGGCAGCGTACAGCTGGGACCTGGTCGCTTCGAAGTTGGGAGGATCAACAAGGGCGATGAACATGCACAGGTATAGCAGCATCTCCGGCCAGGTGAGTTCGTACATGCGAGGCCTAATGATAGGCGGCAGGTCGAAGATGCCGAGCCATGCGACGCGCTCACCCTTGGCCTCTAGCGCCTTGGTGATCTCGAAGGCAATCACTCCCCCGAAGCTGTATCCGGCCAGATAGTACGGACCCGTAGGCTGGCGTGCCTCGACAGCGGCAAGGTACACACCGACCATCTCTTCCATCGACTCGAAAACGTCTTCATTCGGGTCGAACCCGCGGGCGCGAAGGGCGTAGAGAGGATAATCTTTGGGCATCGCATGAACCAGATTTACGAACACAAGGATCTCGCCGAATCCGGGATGGAAGAGGAAGATGGGCGGCTTGCGTCCTTGGGGACGCAAAGGGACCAGTGGGATATAACGCTGGGCCTCCGGCTGCGACCCGACGTTCGCCTGCAGCTCGCGAAGGCAATCGCACAGCTCGCCGAGTTCGGAGTGACGCAGCATAGCGATGATCGGAATGTCTTCGATTCGTAGCTCACACTGAAGACGGTTCTTGAGCTGGACCAGGTGCATCGACGTCATGCCCAGGGCAAACAGATTGGAGTCGCGAGTGATGTCGGAACGCTGGACACGTGTAAGGTCTATGACGGCTTCGAAGACGGCCTCTTCGACGGCATCGTGCGGTCCAACCTTGGTAGTCGACCCGTTAGAGAGCGGCAGTAAGCGATGTTCCAGCGCGGTATGCTGTCCAGCGAGGTAAGCCGTCATCAGAGCCGATCGCGAGACCTTCCCAAGAGCCGTCTTCGAGAACGATTTCCGGGGAAGAGGAAGGACGACATGGGGTGCTTGCGAGCACATCACGATGCAGCACTTGCGAATCGCGCGATTTGCTTCGTGAATAGTGGCGACATCGATCTCGCTCAGCTCGTCCTCAACGTGAATACGGTGCTGGTAGAACACCGCGTACGTGTCGGTATCGCTGTCGGCCAGGCGCATGGGGCAGACAAACACGAAGGAGCGCATGACGCCGTCGATGCCGCTGTCCTCGACGAAGTGCTCAACGTCAACGCTCGGGTGCTTGACACCATTGATGTTGATCTGGTCCTTGTCCCGACCGACGAGGTGCAGATCTCCGCTACTGTCCACCATCGCGCTGTCTCCGGTGATAAACCAGCCGTCAGCAGTGAACGATCCCGTTGTTGCGTCGACGTTGTTGTAATACTCGCGGAAGACAGTCGGGCCCTTCATCTGCAGTTGCCCGGGCTCGACTGGGCCACATACGTCGCCAGTGTGAGGCGAGACGACGCGCAAAGTGATACCCAAGGCGCACCGACCCAAGGATAGATACTTCTCTGCCGATGCGTTCTCATCGCGTACAACGGGACGAGTGTTGTAGACACAGCCAGCCTTCCAATTCGAGACGTGAGCTAAGGAATACTGAAAGCACTGAAGAAGAACTTACGGCAGTCTCGCTCATGCCGAATCCAGCCCGTATTACGTTACGGCGGGCACCAAAAGACTCGAGGAGATCGGCAAATGCGATGGCCGTGTTGACCGGCACGGCTTCTCCTCCCGTAATAAAAGCGACAAGCGTGGACAGGTCCAGGGCTCCAGGCTCATAGGGCGACGCCGCGACGTCGCGACAGAGTTGAGCCATGAGAAAGTTCGGACTGAAGGAGTAGGTGATTTGATAGCGACTGCACCACTCGATCAGGGCGCGCGGGCGCTGAATGACCGCCGACGGCGCGACATGATACTGGCTGAAACGGACGCTCATGAGCTCGGCGAGCTAGGCTGGACAATGAAGCAGAAATACCTCGCGTTTGCTACCATAGCATGTATGTGAACTTCTGTGACACACGCGACATGATCAAATGCAATCCAGTTTAGGAACACCGAGCTCGACGTTGTCCCGTGACACTTGGCTTTCCCGCGTACAGCAGACAAAATGTTGGAATGGCGAAGGGGAACAGCTTTGGAGTTTCCGGTAGACCCAGACGTCAGCATGAGACAGACAATATCGTCTGAGGAGCCCGATCTGGGATAGAATGTAGATGCAGGATCGTTCGAGTCACCGGCAGTATCGAATGCCGAAAGGGTCTCCCAAGACATGGTCCGCAACTCTGGTGCAGCAGCTTTGATGCCGTCTGCGACTGTCACATCATCTGTTATGACGAGTGGACCGTGGAGAAGGCCCTGTAAATGTGCGAGGAATGCGGCCCTGCGGGACGGATCCGGATGGAGCGGAGGGAGGGGACATATGGTGATACCAGCTGCTCGCCACAATGAGCAGAATTCGTGATCTGAGAGAAGGAGAGTTACCGAAGCAACAGGACCAGAAGAGTCGGATGTGTCGTTCATGGTCCGCGAAACTTGCGACGACAATGTCACTACCGGGCTTCAGCCCAGAGGCTAGCAAACGCCGTGAGCCACGAAGAGCATCGGTGTACAGGTCGGCGTAGGTGACCATCCCCGCAACATTTCCTTGCTGGTCTAGAAAGCGTATCCAAGCGGTGTTTTCTTCAGCTCTAGAGGCGAGCAGCTCTTGGAGCGTGCGAGGAGTGTCCGACATGGTGCCAGTGGTAACGAGGACGGAGATCGCTACACAGTGGGTATGCTCACATCGCCAAAGAGACCCTGGTTATATATGGCTTGCATATCTCTGCACGCGCCAAACGCGCCTTTCTATCATCGTCTTCCAATGCGCCAAGCTGGTATGTCATCAGCAAATGTACCGCCCAGTCAGGCTGTGCACATATCAGAAAGGCGTACCAGAGAACATCTTCTTTCCTGAATCACTAAAGGGTCTTCCCTGACTCGACGAAACACCGAAAATTTGCTAGATACTCACAGATTGTCGCGGCGAAGATTTGGGCGTTCGCAGTCTACGCGGGCGGCAAGCGCACTATCCATTCACTTGCAAAATCAGTCAAAAGCTGACTCTCGCCTGAGAAGAGACTGAAGCAAAAATTTCACTTTCCACTGGTTTTCCTGCGTTATAGATCCCTTTGAGCTGTCTCGCACCAGCTTTTCTTACCTCAATCTGCCCCGGCGTATAGCCGAGTGAGATTGGTCCTTGTTTCACTATGTCTTCTCAAGAAGGGAACCACGCTTAATATCACCTGCGACCCTGTGCAAGGCACCAACAGAGAGCAGTACTACGACGAACATCTGTGCAGTTCAGCATGTCGTAAAGCTTGCTCGACGTTATAATCCTGTTAGACCTGCATATGCCGAATATCGTTCAGAAAGTCGCGAAGTTTGCAAATGAAGAATAGCTGAGCATTACTTTTCCGGGGGTTGGATATTGGCAGATGCCCGTCTCACAGGGCCCTGTGCAAATACGGACTTCCCTCGCGGACGCCACCTCAAAGCTGGCAGGGCCGTCGTGTTCAAGCGATGGTATCTTCACGTTCGTGCGGGTGCTTGCTTCTCTTGAGCAGGGCTGCAGCGATGGCCCTAAAATCTAGACAGAGTAGTAAGTATACAGCGGGCCCTTCAAGTAGAAGTGACTCCAGGCCCCAGGGTCAATCGAGACCAACCGGCAGCCATCACTGGAGTACGTTCGCCTCGCCCGCCTCGAGGCGTCGCTTGTGAGGTCGGTAGTTGCAAATTGCTTCAAAATGATAGATAGACCTGCTCCTGATTTTCTCCCAATCTAGCATTAGATGTAGACCAATTTTGCCGTGCCTGTCAGCAAAATATGCGTAATTTCCTCAGGCCCCTACATATAATGTATTTTCCTCCCATCTTCCACATATTATCTAGTGCCTGGAATGTTGCTTTGTCGAGCGTCGTGTCACCAAGACCATTGCTGCCGAACGAGTCCTGACAATACATGAGTGCAGACTGGAGATACGCAACATGCGGTAGCGTAGGTAATCACCGTGTTATCCGGAGCCAATCGTTATTTGATTCATGTTCATAGCGTGTACGACGGGCATCTACGTAAATCAGTATGCCGTGAAACCGGCTCGAAACATCCTTTCATATTTGCAGAACGCCGTTATCGCTCAGAAAGGCGCGCTTGCAACTGAAACAACGACTGGGACATGTCTTTCTAGAGATTGTATATCGCAATGCCTGTCGCGATAGCTGATGAGTCCGATGGCAAATCTTTTGTAGCCACGCTGGGCACGTCGGAAATTACGGGCCCGGGGAATCTGGTGTGGAAATGCCTGGGATACATCTGAGACATGGCGAAACCATCACGTTCGAGCTCACAGCCTGGCAGTTTGCGCGCCTGCTTGTTTCCCTTAGCCACGGGTGAACCCGCAGGTATGCATACAGGCGTGCTGAGAATGCTCGTGAGCTAATCAGTCGCATTTCAGTTGCATACGGCTTACCGCTACACTGTGACGAGCTCTATGAGCCTTCCGCTCCGTGAGAACGCCACAGGACTCACGACAGAACTTGTTCTGCAGGAAGGCGATAGAATTGATGAAGTACGGCTGACGCCAGTTTACACAGGCAACCCTGTGATTAGCGCTTTTATAGTGGCGTGGGGTGCATAATTTTCGTCGGATTATTAGTAGGAGACCGACGAGGTGTGCGGGCAATGACGCATGACGGAGGGATCCAGGCTCTCCTTGAAGGGACACTAAGAGGTCGCGACAGAAGATTCTGGTGACGCAGAAGTTATAGAGCTCGAATTTGCTGGTATGTTCTCGCAGGTGGGCCAATATGCTGCGAATGACTAGATAATCATGGAGGGCATGGTTTCCCCGAGGCGGCCCGATCGCTTTGCAGCGTAGCGAGGCAAACGCATCTCTCCCCTGTACTGAACTATGTCACTCACGCGCTCTTCGTAATAGATCAATTACGCAGAAAGCATACCCTCACCACGTCGTTGTCTGTCTAGATGGTACCACTGATAACAAAATATGCCGGATCGTGCGAGTTATGGGCAGCAATCGTACCGGTGGCATACCCTCCGCTATCACGGCCATCACCGGGGAACGTGACTGCCGCTCCGGCGCTTTGCTTCTCGCTACGGCGGCTCGGCGGCCACCATTCACCACTATTAATGTTACCGATGGCGAGTTCCTCCTTGTGCGCACAGCTGAGAATCTTCGAGCCTCATCCAAGCAGCGCGGGACCCGGCTCTCGTTACACACCCGATACTTCCATTCACTTCGAGCCGAGTCGTCGACGCGACTGTCTGCTCCTGCTTATGCTCTCTGCATGCAGCTCCTCGTCCGCGCGACGACCTTAGCTTCATTACGAAGTTACTTCTACCCACAGTGCTTCATTAGTTCGGCGATGTCTTCTTCTGGTTCCGCAACAACAGGGAAACGTACCATGTGCCCATCGACAATACTATCTGCCAGATCATATCAGCTCAATCCTTCTCTCCATGGCCACGAGTCTGCTTTCCCTCTTGTCAACTTTGAGAGCGATTCTGGCAAATTATTTGTTGAACGGTTCTCACCCATTGAAGATCACTCGCCCTCGCCTACCAGGATCCCCCCCGGTTGGTAGTTAAAATTTTCCCACTCTCGATCGAGTACTCCTCTGGCCCAGACCGTTTTGTCATGATCACTCTGTCTACGTGAGACGCCTCGAGCCCTGATCCTGAGGTAGGCTAGCTATTACGGGTACACACCCTGCTCTAAATCGCGCCAGCACGAGAGAGACCCATGCGCCCTGTTCTTTTTCATCTCTTCCCCTCAGCGGCTCCACATTGCCGGGGTCATGATTTAATAGCGCTCAAGCTTCAAGATCAAGCTCAGCTGCCGTTCCGAATATGCCCCAGATTGCGGCGACATGAGCCAACCTTTGACAGATGCACGCTGAAATCTCATCAAGCTTGTAAGAACAAAAGTGGCCACATAGCAGAGCTTTATCTTTTCTACCTGCTTCACCTACGCGAGCAGTCAGTCGCTTGCCACAGAACGTGATCACGCCTGAAAGTTGATGGGCGAGCAATCCCAAAGCCGAAGACTGAGTCCACATGTGCCGGTGCGGCTTGCCATCGCAAGATCTGTCACTGCTCCGGTCTGGTAAGATCAACTCCCTTTCTCCACTGCCACTGGCCTGACTGTGATGATCTTAAACATACCGCACTATCTCCCTAGGGCTGTGGTGTGGTATCGCTGGATTAGTAAGTCTGTGTCTCCTCCGATCGTGGTGGTTATAATCACGCTTCGATGCTTCTCCCACATCACCATCTGGTCCGTCCGATACCATCTGTCGGGTAGGGCATGGCTATGCGACTGTATCACCGGCTCTTCGGGAGGTTGCCTCTGCATAGGGAGGTACGGGTTGCGTTCCTTGGATAATGTATAGAGAGCCATCGGCTGACTACTAAGCAGATAAAATCTATCATTTGTATCACCTACCATCAACAAAGCTCTTGTTATAAAATACTATGGGCATACGATACCAAGTCCAATATCTAAAATAAACTTTATGCACTCGACTCGTTCGCTGCAATTGGTGAGGCGGTGCTTTGCACATCCCTTCTCATCATTGGCGCCACTGCTCCGACCCGACTTCCCACTGCGCTGCAGCGCTTCTCGCACGCCGCTAATCGCGGAACGCAGCACAGCCATAGCAATTTATGAACCCTGCAACCGCCGTCAACTTAGATCATGGCACATATATATACATTGGAGAAACGTATGCCATTGTGCTACCAGCTCTCAAGAACAGCCGGCATGTCTGACCCAGCCTCGTCAACGCCTCTACCTTCGCCTCCTCTGCCTTCATTGGATCTCAACAACACGCTCGGTGTGCTACTTATCAGTACGCGAGCTTTGTTTTTGTCAGATGTAAACACGTACTGACTGATTTGGCAGCCGAGATCCTGATATCAGTGTGAGCATTACATTTAGTCGTGAGTCGATTAGGCTTCTCTGACACTGTGATTGAAGGCTATTTGGTATCGCCTGTGTGCAAGTTTATATGTACTTTCACAGTAGCATCCGTGACAGCTCCCGCATGAAGGGAATAGTGCGTACTTTCCTATCACTTGCCGCTTGCCGCCAGTATTTACCAATGATTTCAGGTATTGTTTCTATGGTATGTTGTACGAACACTCTAATCTCATAGCAGCAGTGCTCACATATGTCTTCAGGATTCTTGATGGACTCCATCTCGCGTTCACCTCACACGGTATATACCAATATGCCGTAATGAATTTCACAAATCCTCTTGCATTAACCCAGTGCCCATGGTGCGCACTCTACCAGGGACATTTCGTAAAATTTGTTAATCCACATGCTTCTGTGTTAGGAGCTTTTCAGCTGACATGGTCTTTGCGGTACGTATTACCCACTTATTCCACAGTGCAAACTCTAACGCTGTGAAATAGGAGCTTAGCGATTTCATTTTAACATCGTACGCCTTCCTTGAAGGTCTCTTGTACCCCTTTCTGACTACATCCTCAAAACACAGTGTCTTCGCGTACAGGATCTACAAAAGTGCGCAAACAGTCGGCTATTAGTTGTGCAGATATTCATAGTGACAATTAGTCAGCGGGCATATGTGGCCGCTCATCTTCATTGTGCGCATTATCCTAATTTTACCGTGATTTTATCGATGACATGCTAAAGACATCCTAGATGCCACCTCAAATCGTTAGCCTCAGTAGGTTTTTTTTACATCCCTACCGCTATTTATTTTTAGAGCTCACGATCACCATTCTTGTAGCTGCAGGCCTTGGTATGTATCATTCTGAGCTGCAAACGTACTGACCGTACCTTTAACACATCAATCAGCCATTGCTGTACTAGTGTAAGCTCAACCACGTTCAAATCCCCCGCCGACGCCCTCGCTCATTGACTGTATCAGTCGCAAGGTTCCTGACTATGGAGAGCTGGATAAGCGATACGCAGTGTGTGAAATATTCGTTACGCCTCTAATTCCTGGTTCTGACACCGCTGAAGTGGATCTGGGATACCATGTTCTGTCTCCAGGCAGTCGCCGATTGTGCTATCGCCGCATCTCTCAGCACAATACTCGTGAGGCGTCGCACGGGCTTCAAGCGGTGAATTTTTACCTATAATATTTATTGTCACTGACGGGCTCACTGTAACTTCCCAGGACTAACTCGTTGATTCGCGTCCTCATTCTGTACACTATCGGTACATGCACTCTGACAAGGTCCGTTTTCGATTGTGTTGCACAAAAATAGCGACTCTCAGACCAGAATAGCTCTGTGTCCGTTGCTTCTGTCATCACAGTACGTGTGTGTTTCTGTGGGCGCATGCCATAAAGCTGACCGAGTGATAAGTGCATCTCTGCACCTCACAACTTCATATACTTCTCCATCGGCACACTCTTGCCCAAACGTCCGTCTCGTTCACCTCGCTCCACCTTGGCTCCGCATTCTGAATCTTCTGCACAGTAACGATGAACTCCCTGCTCGCTCTGCTCAACTCGCGCGATGCTCTGCGCGAAATGCATGCCGGTCAGGTCGTGTCCGTCCATTTCTCGAAGTTCGCCAGCATCCTCAAACGCTCGGGCACGTCGGATAATGCAGGGGCGGCACCGGTCCACATCTCAGACCACATATCCCAGGTGCTTGGATACTGCTGAGGGCTTTCATTCATCCACTGACTCTGCTCCTGTGTAGGAGATCATCGACTCGGACCTCTCGGCAACCGCTGACATTCTTGATAGTTCGTTCGACTCGGAGTCCCAAGTTCCGGGAGATCGTGCAGTCTGAGTTATGCGGGAAATGAGCTCATGGGAACATGCTCGACCTCACCATTTGTTCTTCGGATTGTTGGTGCTCGTGAATATGCATGTAAATTATTAATCGAGCCGTAGTAAATATTAGGACGTATACCCCAGAATATCACCCTAACATTATCACCGTTTCAATCAATTTTTGAAGGTCTTGACGAGCTCTTTTTCATCTTACCAATCGAAGCCCCAGCCGGCCCGCCTGTAAGTCGCAAGGTCATGGACTGAGGCGTACGCCATCATTTGATTGGCGCCTTCGTCGTGGCGTGGGCTGAACATCTGGGCGGTCGCTCCTAGCGGAATCTCGGTTTTGACTACCAAGGCTAGTGCGTCTGGGCGGTCGACTCGTTCTAGAGAGTAACTGGACCGAGTACGTGATGGCGCCACCGAGCTCGCTCAAAACATCCTTCACCGAGCCTCTCATCGAGGTCAGCTTGAAGTTACTCTTCGCTTGCAAATTTCCCGAGGCCGCCAAGACTCACCCGGGCCGCAGGTGCTTTGTCTGCTGCTCCATTCCTTCAGACATCGCCTTAGCAACGGCCATCATAGTATATGCGAAGCCGAAGAAGAGGCCGCCGCTCCACTTTCCAATCCACCAGGGTTTCAGACGAGGTGAGTTCTCATTGCTGTCCAGTATGAACGGTAATTGACAGACTCCGTATCACGACAAGCCATACAAGTACCCTGCACACAGTGTAGCGGCGGCTTCCGTATCCGGCCCCGCGGTTCGTGTTCCGAGGATGTACTGTTTTGGAATCTGTGAGCAATAGCGACTCTATTCTCCCACGAACCATGTGCACGTATCCGACGCCATCTCAGCTAGCTGTCTCTGGCTGTCTTCTTAATCATTGCCAGTACCGCTATCCTGCGGAATATTTTGAACACGAGTATGTATGTCTTCCTGACGTTTATTTTTAACGCCACGACCATGGCACTATACAGTCCTTTGAGCCGATAGCCACAAGGATGGAACTAGGCAGGTGCAGTATTCTTATTATCTTAATTTTTCTGTCAGCTAGGAAGCGAATAGGAACCTGGATATCTCGTTAATCGCTGTCAGGGCCCAGCATGGTCGTTCTTTATTTCATTTCCGTCTCCCAATGGCTTCGTATACTGATCTGAGCTGCGCTTTACAGGGTTTGCCGCGTTCACATGCTATCATGGTAGTAACAGCCTGCTCGGGTGTCCAGGTCGTGTTGAAACGCTCTTTGCCTTGCACAGACGCCTGTTATTACGATTCAATGGCGCGGCACTTGGCACTAAAGATGCCGCGCATCTTGAGGTGCGCGTCGCCTAAGCTTTGGAGTCTGTTCCATGCGCCGACAGCAGGCCTGAACAGTCTCTTACAAACGCTCTAGGAGCTGTGTTTGTGTCGTAAACTTTACAGGCATCCCCTCTCTTCGCTTCCGCCATTGACTTGATTTCAAGCATCCGTTACAGGTCATGGTGCCTCTCCCGGACTACTATGCCGTCGTCTGATATCATTCGGCGCGGAGCGAAGCATTGCAACGTCATTTTGCGGGAAGCCCCCAGCTCCAAATCTTCCAGCGACCGTCGCTCCGGCCGTATCAGGTCGGGCTCTGTTGCACGAGGCGTGCGAGTAGGGAAACATTGCAGGATGATTAAGTTTCAGGTACGTGGGTTACAGCAGTATATATAGCATATCGAGCTCATGGTGGAGGCATAGGAATCCCTCGTTGTAGCAGTCCTCGAAAGCCCACGACAACTATGTCCGAGCTAGCATCGCCAACTTCCACTCCGCCTTCTCTTCAACCTGTCACTTTACATTTTGATAATACGCTTAGCGTCACCCTTGTTGGTGCGCAAACGTCGCTTGTCGTCAATAGCGCTTCGTACTGACGAATCAAGCAGTCGAGATTCTGGTGGCGATGTGAGTATCCTCGTAATATTGTGCATAGACTAGGTTCCCCGACACCACGTGTCACAGGTTGTACGGCATCATCAGCGTGCAAGTTTATAACTACTTCTACGGCGGCCCTCGTGACGACCTTTTTCTGAAGCGAACTGTGAGTACATCTCTGCCGCCTATTTTTCATGGCCAACAACGGATACAGATATTTTTCCTGTGGTACGTCGCATGCAGCTGCTGTTTGATAACAATGTTTATGCGTATACTCAGGATACTCGAAAGCGTTTACGTCGCGTTCAATTCTGGTACGGTCTACTACTTGGCTGTAACGAATTTTGTGAACCCTCTCGCCTTGACGCGGGTTCCGCGGTGCGTTCTTTATCGAGAGATAGAAAATATTCATGCGCCAACTCACGAAGTTATAACTCAGGAGCTGGGTAGCTTCGATGCTTTCGGGTGTATGTGTCATGCTCTCAATTGACCATTTATAGGCTGAAATTTACCGACCAGTATCTCATTGAGGTCACTGTCACTTGGTACGTCTTCCGGGTAATGCGCCGGTTCTGTGCAGATTTGATTTTAGTCATGCCACACGAAGTATTTTCGCATATAAAATCTACAAGCGTACGTACGCAAACGACCCTTTCAATCGCAGATGGCTTATGAGAATGATCAGTTAGCAGACTTATATGGCCACTGGTATTCATCGTAAGTTATCAGGTGACCTATTATTTTACCATCCTTATGAGGATAATACCCTAGGTACCAACACAATTCGTCAGCTGGGGTAATTTTTTCGAGTCTCATTGTTGGTATTTGAACCTTACCATCTGTTCTCGTAGTGGCATCAATCGGTGGGCATCAGCTTGAATCATATACATTGAGACTGTATCTTAAACATGCAGCTTAGCCGTTGCCATACTCGAGTGAGCCTTTCTCTCCATTTCCCCGCTTCTCCTACTGCACCACTCATCGACTGCAGGCTCAAGTTTCCGAGCTATCAAGAGCTGGAGCAGCGATTCGCCGTGCGCATGCCGCTCCTTTCAGACTTTACCTTGATTCTAAAATACACGAAGTGGGTTTGGTATACCGTTTACAGCCTCCAGGCCTTCACAGACTGCGCTATTGCGGCTACACTCTGCACGATGCTTATCAGGCGTCGCACCGGCTTCAAACGGTGTGTCTATTCCTGGAAATTCGGAAAGTTCTGAACGAATTACCGCTCCACAGAACTAATTCGATCATCCGCACGCTCATCATTTACACCATTAACACATGTGCGCTGACTAGGTATGGTGATGATTATCTTACGCGGCTGCAGTTGTGATGACCTTCTGTAGCTCTGTCTCCATTGCTTCTGTTGCTACGGTGAGCGCTCTCCACCTGTGCGCGGGATTACGCAGCTTATCGGGAACAAAGTACGCTGGAATGCCCCACAACTTCGTATTCGTCAACTTGGCAATAGTACTGCCGATGTGTCCGTCCTGCGTCCTATCGTCGGCCTCTGGTACTGATGCTTCGGCACAGTGATATCGAACTCCTTGCTTGCGCTGCTCAACTCGCGTGACGCACTGTACGACACGCACGCCGTACAAATCGAGTCCATCCATCTCTCAAGACTCGCAGGAATTATAAACCACTCTGCTCCGTCGGGCGGTACACGAGTTGCGCACACACACGATGAGGTTGCCAAAGACCGGGTGCGTAGTCACTCATAACTGTGCTTGTACTTCTTCCGACTGTGCTCTTTATGTAGGAGGCTGCGGAAATTTCTGACATCGTTGGAGCCCCAAATAGCTCGTGCGATTCGGAATCTCAGGCATCGAGGTGGGCCGGAGTCTGAACTCTGCGCAAGAATGAAGTTTTGTGCATGTTTCTGCCCATTGTTCGCCATCTGTGTTGCAAGTGCACATCAAATATGCATTCGATATATTGGCTCAATCGTAGTGAATAACATGACATATGCTCCATCATATTTGCTTTGATGTTCCGGCACTACATCTGCCAAGGTGCGAGTATTGACGAGTTCAATCGTTCTTATCCCTTCGAAAGCCTTATCGACGATCCTGTGCACTACATAACCACTGAATAAATGCACCTGCGAAGACGCAAACACGCAGGCCCAGAGAAATGTGGAGCGGCTTGGTCACGCTTGGTGAGTACCTGTGCTTAAGTATTGCTGCCGTCGCCACCGCCTAATTTTGGGCGACGCACGGACTATCCTAACGTACATGCTGAGGCCAAATTTTACTGAGCTGATATCGGTTTGTAGATGGTAGTTGCTAATTGAAACAATAAAGCCTGGCATTATACTGTGTACATCTCGATTCTGCCGAGCAGTGAGAAGAATGCACCCCGCTCACCACAAATAACGCTTACCTGCTTCTAGAGCCTTCTTCTTCATAAGAGAACACAACACCATCTTCAACAAGCGTCAAGCCAAGCAACACCTGTAGTTAACCAGAGTCGCACGAAAGGGCGCCCGCATCGCCGCCCAGTCCGCGCCAGTCAGGTCAAACAAACCAGCCTTTTCCCGCACCTCGCGCAAGTACTCCGCGAGCCTGGGGTGCTTAAGCTCTGGCGCCTCGTCCTGACCGCGGTTCTGCGCAAGATCGAAATCGTAGATGACGATGTGCCCAAGGAAGGGAACATGCGCGCACAGCCGAGAGCCGCCGACAATGCTCCAAGAGCTGGGCTCGCAGCCGGTCTGCAGCGTCAAGGTGTGCATGCCCCACTCTTCCCAGGGAACGGGACGCATCGTATTACTCTCGATCGACGGGTCGTGAAAGCGTGTGGTGAGGAGATGCAGTGGGATGATGAGATAAATGCAGAGCTTAAAGTATGGATCAAGGGAGATGAGGGCGATATTTGAATGGGGCGTCCAACGGAACCGAGTATCCGAAGTAAACGGGGTTTGCTTGCTGCATAGACGAGTCCGCATCCTGGCTGTATGGAACGCTGTGCGGTGTACATGCTGTTTCGGAAGGTCGAAAGCCGCCACCGCTAGTACGGATTTGTCAGTGGAGCATGCACTGACCTGCGGGGCATAACAGTCGAAGACCATGATTCTGGAGTCGCCAGATGCGACCTGCACAAGGACTAAGACGTGCCGTGCGTCCATGAATGCGAAATCCTTTACGCGTAGATTGCTTGTGGTTACTGTCATAGACTTGGCACTCACATTGAAGAATACTCCCACAACGAGATCTCTGCGGACGTACCATCAGAAGCTCGGCACGCTTCCAGTCCCAGACCCACAGATTGTATCCCTCGTGACTGTATGATAACATCGCAATCATGTCGGCATGCACCAGAAGCCGTTCAGACCCGCGCTGGAACGCATCAGTGTATGTGTTGAGCAATGCCCGGGACTTTGCGAGTGGGTGTGTTTCGCCTGTCGTGCACGATAAAATGAGCAATTCAACTTTACGGTCGTCGACCGATCTATATCGATCCAAGTTAATTTTGTCTTGTCTTTTACAAACCCACGGACATGTACTTTGGAACGATCACGAGCAGGTCCTGGTCGTAGTCATACGCGAACCGACGGCTCGAGAATTCGGGCAAGTTCTCAAGTGTCCAGACTTTGAGACCGACTCCGCGAAGCTTTGATGGTGGGCGAACAAAGCGCAAAGAGTTGTCGTAGCTCCGACGTGAGGGTTTGATGTATGCTGGGCGCAGAGAAACAGAGAGGCACGTTGTCGGAGATCCGCTACATTCGATTGTTTGAACGGTGCTGGCGTGTCCAAAGACCCTCCAGGCCCTGTGCCACTCTTTCTGAATTTCAACCTTTTCGTTCAGTGCGATATTCCGAAAAGCAGGCCCATCGACCGTGGACATGCAGTACTGTTCTATTCTGTATTGCAAGGCGGCCGAGTTCTGTACGAGGTTGCGAGCGAATCGGGAGACCTAAGACATCCCATCAGACAATTGATATTGAACTGCGATAAATATTACTGAAATCATACACTCTGAAAGCGAACCATGTTCTGAGCTGGTACGTTTTCGAGATTTTTCTCCCAAAGCTCGACCGGAAAGGCCGTGTAATCCACCATTACGAGATTGCCTTCCCAATCTATCTCTGAAATGATTGGAATGAGGAGTGCTTTCTAGACCTGATTATTGCGTGCGAGCACGTCTGGACTCTGGACTCCGGAACAAGCATTCTCCTCGTCTCCACATGATACGTCACGTGATGACTCTGGCGTGGGAATCCGCGCTCTCGTTTGGCCTGCTTAAGTTGCGACCATGGTTGGAACTGGCGATACACTCTTCTTGGCATACAGTATGGAAAAGTACTGCTCGAAGACTTGTATGCTTGCGAAAATGCGGAGTGTGCATCCACTTCGTGCTCGAAATTTATGCTCCACCTCGTCATTCCTCGGCAGAATCTTTGCGCATTTTGGCCAAAGCGTTTCATCGCAAATACTCGGCCTTTGTGAAGAAACTCGCCGCCTCTGTACTCTTCATACGCCTGCTTTAGCCTGAATGGCACCACGGGCGTCTCGAGCTCCAGCGTCTTGGGACTCCGCGCTGTCCCGGTAGTGTGCGTGGCGCTCTGAGTCCTTGCAGGTTGCGATCAGCGCGCTCGGTGGGAACGATGCGTTGCGAAGCTGATTATACTACAGATCACCGGCCGGTGTCAGCACTGTCCACTAGGGACAAGCCAGGGATGGCGGTAAAGTGGGTAGAGATAAGAGCCTGAGGACAGGCGGACTTGTGGCACGCGTCGGCCCGCGACGGATGCAAACGCGGGGGTACAGATGGTTTTGAGCGAAGCAAATTTATCATCGCGCGCTCAAAAACGAAACGGGGTACTTGTAGTACTTCACACTAAACGTGTGCTACTTCAAACAATTTTAATGCATTCTCTGTTGCATTAATCGCCTGCATGTGCCCGGAAGGTTCATCCTAAGATTCCTAACGTCCATATAGATACTCCGGGCCCAGTAAGATAGACCCAGTTCAATTTCGACGAGTGTCGTCACAGTGTGACGGTCACGTGCATGTCGCGGAAACGCGCGGCCGCGATGAT